AAATATAGAATATGAAAGATCTTGCACATAAGACACTTTTTTTTAATGTTCTTTATTTTCCTTCCTTTTGTGCCCCTTCCCTACATGAAAACTACTGCTAGGTATTGTACCTTAAAAGCCCTTCTCTTGGATTACTTCACTTCAAAAATGCTCAGAGAGCCTCTGGGATCTGACAAGGAAGCTCATGGTACTGACTGCCACATTAAATGTGATTTAGGTTTTTCTTAACTTATCCTTGGTATACAATTCTGAAATAATGTCTTAACGCAGGAGTTGACAATCTTTTTCTCTAAAGGGCCAAAGAGTAAATATTTTATGCTTTGTAGGACATACAGTGTCTGTCACAACCACTCAACTCTGCCACTGTAGCATGAAAGCTGGTATAGACAATACATAAATGAATGGGTGTGGCTGTGTTCCAATGACATTGTACTTACAAAAACAGACAGTGAGCCAAATTTAGCCCATGGGCCAGAGCTTGCCAATCCTTATATTTCTGGATCAAATTTAGAATTATATAAAATCTTACTGTTTACACAGAGACTGAAACACTAGAGCTGAAAAGTTGCCATCAGGCATTTAAATATTCTTTTCAATTTGCATAAAAATAAAAATCTTAATTTATTTTCATTTCTCATCAATAAAGTATATGGGCTTTTACATATTAAACTGCCCTAATTAACTGATCTAAATTTAGATCCATGAACCAGAAAAATTTCGAAAACACTTTAATAGATGACAGAGAATTAATCTGTTCGCCTATTACAAAAGTACAGTATCAGTTTGAAAATTGAACTAAATATGACCCTGGTAGTCAGTTACTTATCGTTAAAAAATGAAAGGTTTATTCCTCATCAATATCATTGATTTGTTTGAAACAGCTCGTAATAACTGATAATGAAGCATCCTTCAACTGGGAGATTCACCACGTAACAAAGTGTGTCCTAGAAATCTCTAAAAAATTTTAGCAAACCTGCACATAAACAGATTCAATTCTCATATGACAAAGAAAGGATAGAAATTATATCTAATTTTATCCTTCTTAAAAAAAAAACCAAAAAACCTGAAGTGCTGCCGGCTTCCTCAAAATCAATATTTCCAAGGTGCAGGACACCAGCTACCACCCGGAAGAGATCAAGCTTTTCTTCATCATCCAAACCGATTTTTTTCATGGCTGTGCACATTCTAATAAAATCTCCATGGTCATCTAACAGAGGATCTTTCAAGGAACCTGCCTTAAGATACTACAAAACAAAAAGACATCAATTAACTGATCTTTACATTATTTAAGTAGACTAAAACAACTACAACAGGTCCATTAATACACTATATAACATGCAAAAATAAAATCTGTCAATGGAAAAACTTTAGCATTCTAACATTCAAAAACTGAATGACTAGGTAAAGTGTTCATAGGATATCTCTGTACTATTTCTTACTACATGTGAATCTACAATTATCTCAATAAAATTTTCAATGAAAAGAATGAAATTAGATGTTTTCCAATTAAATTACAAATTTCACTATTAATACTAGGATATTACATAAAGATATAAAGTGAGGAGGGAATATCAGTAGTTGAAAAGAATTAACATCCACAGATCAAAAAGAACTGAGGGGCCAGGCGTGGTGGCTCACACCTATAATCCTAGCACTTTGGGAGGCCAAGGTGGGAGGATCAACTGAGGTCAGAAGTTCAAGACCAGCCTGAGCAAGAGTCAGACCCTGTCTCTACTAAAAAAATAGAAAGAAATTACCAGGGCAATTATAATAGAAAAAAATTAGCAGGGCATGGTGGCGCACACCCGTAGTCCCAGCTACTCAAGAGGCTGAGGCAGGAGGATCGCTTGAGCCCAGGAGTTTGAGGTTGCTGTGAGCTAGGCTGACGTCATGGCACTAATAGAAAA